ATTGATCATTTATTCATTCATTGTGATGGTGTACGTTGGCTTTGGAACAGTATTCTGACTTCTCAATCAATGGATTGGGTACTACCTAAGCGTATAGAAGACTTGGTGCGGGCATCGAGAAGAAAACTTCGAGATAAGGATAGCAAACTTCTCTGGAATCTTATCTCGGGATGCATTGTATAGTGCATATGGAGAGAACGGAACGATCGATGTTTCGAAGACTAAACAAAGACAACAGAGCAGATAAGAGAATTATTTTACTTGACTTTGTATACTTAGTTTAATGCAGTGACTAAAAATCTTGTTGTAGGGTTGCCTAATTTCTTGTTGTTCCCTTCATGCTTAAAGTGATTGTATACCTCCCGTGTTCTCTCTTTTAAGGAATAAAATTCTCTGATTACCTATAAAAAAAAACATGAATTCTGTTTCAAGTGAAGTATTGATACAGTTATTATAATCAACATAAAAGTAAATTTTAATATGAGGGGAACTTACGGTGGTTATGGCAGTTATGACACAGTAAATATTAGTTTTGGTGTCTAAGATAATCAGCAGTTGTTACATACACAGTGATGAACTGCTTGGTTAAGTAAGCTTTAACAAATTCGGGCCTAATTTGAACCATGACAGTTGTTGCAGAATAAAGTTCAGCAGGTAACAAGAGAGAATATTGTACTTGATAAAGGAATACACATCTAATTCTTAGATATTAAACAAAGAATAAAAACACGTTGATAAGGCAAGTGACGACATTTGATTGCTATACATCAGGAGCTAGAAGAAGTCGCTTCTTGCTGGATCATAGCTCAAGAGTTCTTCAAATACAACATAGGTACCTGGTCTTTCAGATATGCAATATCTGTATCAGATATGAGACGATACAGAGGTTCCATCTTCCTCCAGAACAAGTTAGAAAGGGCTAGTGCTGTAATCACAACAAACAAATCAATGCCACAAAAAGAAAATATTCTAAGAAATTGAGAAACAACTTTTTCTATTCAAAAAAAATACCAGTATTTGTAACAGCATTTGCAGCAGCCAACAGCTCTTCATTCCCATCATCTGAACCAACTAAAAAAATTGAAAGGAAAAAAATAAAAAACAGTAATAAACACATACAGCTAATTGTGTTATATAGATATAACAAATTAAATATTTAGACCAAAGTTAATTACCTAGAAAATCTGGTGCTATATTAACTGTGTGCTTCTGACGTGTATAAGGCTTCCTATCAGAGGGTTTCCTCGTAGGTGGTCGACCTGCCCTGTCGAACAAAATGTTCACCAAGTTATAAGAAGATCTCAAACGAATAAGCCTTTGTTTGGGCTCCATAAAAATCAAATTTTGGAGATAAATATATTTTGAAATAGTGATTTTTCTAAGAATGTGAGGTTAAAAAAGTAAGAAAAGTTTTGGATTTACAAATATTATTATTTTATTGTAGAATATGTAGTTGAAAATAAGAGTGAGAAAAATGCATTTTGAATAAAATGGAGCCGGGATAAACATGTTAGCGCTCATTATGGAGGAGCAAATAAGCAAAAGAGGGATGAAATGAAAAGGGAAATTATATTGAACCTTTCATTTTTTTCAAAACCAAATCTTGAACTTCTTATTTGTTTTGTTGTTCCGACATTTCCATGTTTTTCAACTGTTAAAGTCATGAGGGACCTGGTGGAAGTAAAGCCACGGCCACTCCTCCCTTGCCTTCGGACACTGTCTCCATGGTCTTCCCCACTAGCTGCCTTATTTTTTCTAGGTGGTAGCAGAAGGGTTGACATTTTATGGATATTTTGTCCACATTTTTCATCCATCTCATCAAACTTCTTGTTTTTGTCTCTTGGCTTAGCTTCAGCAGCCCCTGATTCCTCACTTTCAGAAAATGCAGCTGAAGAGAAGTCACTTATTTGTTTAATTTGCCGAGGAGAATGGCCAGGCATGCATCTTTCATTCCTCGTCACCTCAGATGTCGTATCAACGGTAAGGGTCTCATCATTGCTGGGGACAATAGGAACAATATTAGTTCTTCTTGCTGTTCGAGAGATCTTTTGCGGTCTCTGGACCCAATTAGCAACAGGAGGTGAAGAAGACCGCGTTGAAGGTGTGCGTTTACAGTTATTAGCCCCAACAGCACCAGGTAGTTTGCTTGTACAGTTAGAAAGCTCCCAATCATTAGATTCTGTAGCCAGTTGCACCACTTGAGAGAACTTGGATACACCACCTTCAGTACCAGAATGTGGAGCCTGAGCATTTGCATTCAACTTTGAGCTAGAGGTAGGGCTGCCTGAACTGAAATCTTCACGGGCATTTGCCCTGGTTAATGGAACAAAAGAAATAAACAGTTATCTAACATGAAAGAGGGATATTTACACCAGGGAAAAGAAAATCCAAAAAAGTAATACATATGGATCCAAGCACACAAGCGAACCCCATCCCCACATACAGTCCCAATCCAACTGCCAGAGAAATATCGAAAAGAAGAAAAATGAATAAATCGTGGAACCATGCAATCAACCAAATTTTTTAAGTAAGAAAAGTGAGATGATAATTTCCATACTTGTTAACAGCTCTAAGATTCACCCTTTCTTTCTCTGGAGCAGTTGGACGCTCTCTCCTCTCATGAAGAATGGGGCTGTTGTCCAGCTCAGCCCTAGAGATAGGCCGTGTGCCTAAGCCAGTCTGCTGCGAGGAGGATTCAGCTTTTCCAACTCCTACACTCCCATTGGCAATCCCAGGTCTGCTTCAAGGTTAATGCTAAGAGTATTAGGTTTGGAAAATGATAGTCCTCACTTGGATAAAAAATGAGGCTTGACCCAAGCAATATAAAGAAAAATGAAATTAAAAAATAACACAAAAAAAAATTGAAACGGTTCCCCAGCAGTTACTAATTTCCAATAGAAAAGATGGTTGTATCCAATCGGGTTTACAAAAGATTTAAACAGAAACATTTGTTCTGAAAATAGGACAACAGCAGAGGCCGTCAAGCTATGACGCACAGACACTTCTACTAGAACATGACATGTCGGACCATGACACACTGCGGAAACTCAAGGACATGTACTCAATCATGTGCCCTTGCCCCCATTTCTTTTATATAATCTTTAAATAACCAACACTCGAGATATTTTATAGACACCCATCGGGCAAGTGTTGGACATGCCATGTGCCAGTAGCGATTTAACATATGAATTAAAATTTTAAAGAATTAAAATCGTGTCCCCAACATGTCTGTGTCCTACTTTTTCAAAAAATCATGTTGGCGTGTCCTTGTCGAGTCATGTCCGTGTCGCGTGCAACTTAGCTGTCAAGTTCCTCATTTTACTATCATTTACTGATCCCGAGAAGATTTACAGGGTAACTGACAGTTGAAACATGAATTTATAGGGCAGGTCATTGGGCAACCAAGCAAACAGAAGGTGAAGCAAAATCTCAAAGGAACTTTCGAAACCAAAAGTGCTCTAAATTTAATCAACGAGCATAAGTCACATAACCCAACATCAAAAGTCACAAGTGGTGCGCTGCATACAGAAAATCAAGACCACATACTATATAAAATCAGCATTCCACAGATGGATCAAGAAACTCCAAAACTGGTACGAGATTAGATACTCAGCGATACAACAGAATAGGATATAAAACATCATATCTAGTCTAAACAATTAATCTATCACGTTCTAAAATAGTAAAATGCCAAGACCATAAGCACTAAAACCAGACTTCACAACATATCGTTTCCACTACAGATGCCTCTAATTTGTGATTCTACCTGAGAACATGAATAAAAATGTGGATGAACCATCAACAGTTCATAACAGAGAAGGTACAGAGCTTTAACATTTTCGTTACATGAGCTAAAATATATTAAGCCCTTGTTTGATCCCCATTCTTTGGGGAAAAATGCATTTTTCTACAATATTTTGACATCATTTCAATCACAATCTTCAATAAAATAATATTACACGTAAATCTAAAATTTTTCTTTATTTTTTAACCACATATTTCCCATAAATACACTATTCAAAAATTCATTTTTCCCCCCCCAAAAATGGGGCTCAAACAAGGGCTAAGTACACAAGGTAGTACAAGATGGAATCCATGAAAGTAAGGGGGGAAAACTTTGAAGCGTGAGCAACATAGTTGTATTAACCTATTTCTTTTCTGTAAAACCATGGAATTAAAAAAATACCATATACTTTAAAATAGTAGACTATATTGTTGTAACTTGTAATCATCCAAAGGACCAATAAAATTGAATTAAAGATCATAACAGAAGTTAATATCAACAAAACTCTTGGCAAAATGAATCCAATCTCAGTTTACAGCCCTTCATTTCAAAAAAATTCTCCTTGTTCAGTTTGATAAAAGTAAATTGCTAAAAATAGGATTCCAATTACTCAAATGACCGCAAACAACTTCATAACAACATAAAGCACATGTTTGGCTAAGCATAAAATCACCAATAAGTAAGTCTTTAAGTAAATAAGAAAGGATTCAAATGATTTTTTCCTTTTTTTTTTTTTTGGTCAGTAAGAGTTGGAAATATGCAGTTACTTAAAAGTGACCCCTCCCCTACCATCAACATAAGCAACTAGAGCACATAACCCACCCAAACATGTTTGATAACAAAAATTCACTTTGAAGTAACTTTAACTTTCTTTTAGGCTTAGCAAAACTTGCTCTACAAAAACAAATGCAATCAATCTCTCACCACCAGCAGATGCCTGACCTGTGACAGTATGAGAAGCAATACCTGGCGCCATAAGAATCATTCATCCTTGAACGGGCATCAGTAGGAAGTCGTGGCTGCATTACTTGCTTAGACTCCCTGTAGCCATCAGCAGATTTCATCACCATTGAACTTGCAGTACCGTCTGTCTTTATTCCAGTACGTTTTTTCTTCATCTTTGATTTCTCCCAACCATCAACGGTAAGGGATGATGTTCGATCCTCGCCATTAATCATGCCACTGTTAGGAAATCTTATTATTTCCCTATCCTTGTCCATAACTCCAGCTGGCCTTGCAGGGGTATTTGCCTGGACATCCATATAAATCAACTGAAATCGTTTGAAGGTACAAATGAATAAAGAAGAGAACCCAATAGAGAAAGCAAGGGAAAGTTTAGCAGGAGATTAAATTCAACCAGAAAGAATAATCAAGATGGACAAAAGGTAATCAACCAAGATTACGAATTGATAAAAAGGAAATATAAATAAAAAGAGAACTGAGCAAAACACCTTGAACCCTAATGCTTATCTTTATTTAGATACTAACTTTCAAACAAGTAAGAACAATAGTAGGAAATCATTCACATAAAATTAAGACTAAACAGAAGTTATTACAATCCTATAATACAAGAAATCAGACAAAAGGATGAGAGCTAGTAGCTAATGAGGAGAACATTATAAAGCAGCCTTCCATAATCATTCTAGTATAATTAAGCACAAAAAAATATGCAGACAACTTGAGAACAACAATGAATGCATAAAGACCACCACATCAATTCTGTACAGAGAAAAGAACATTTTAAGAAAGCAACCAAACATACCCTTGGGTCTACCATAGAAGTTCGTGTGCGCTTGTTTGGAATCAAAATTTTTGTCCTTTCTTCTGATCTTTGTTGCTCCAGTTCAAAACTACTCGTACTGGCATGACTCTGTGATCCCATTTTGCTGATGCTCATCCCTGAACTTGACCGATCAGTTGGTAACAAGGCATTGGATCGGTCATTTGATAAGGTATCCAGTCGGGATCTTTTTCTTGATGGAATGGTTGGGAAACATTTGTTGATTACAGATAAACAATCATTGAATATCTTTACACGTTCCCTGATACGTGGTGTAAGTTCAGAAATTATCCATATCCCTCGTAAAAATTCATATGAAAAAGAAAAAAAAAGAGTAAGCGGTAACTACCTAGCTTTACTACCACCTTCCCGTACACCAGCCCTGAGTCGTCTGAGATCATCTGATGATGGAGAAGGCGGTGGTTTGCTATTTGAAGATCCAGGTAGAGGATCTTCTAGTGGGATGCCAACGGCAGCAGTTGCAAGTCGCTTAAATGCCACTGGTCGATTCAACTTATGGTCCACGACCATCGACTTTGGATCAAAACGCACACATTGAAAAAAAGTCATCACATCTCCATGTGTCACAGAAGAACTGCTTCTTGTCATGTTTGGAAGAGTTGATAAGATTTGATTCTCCATGTTCTCGCGAAAGCTACCTGATCTGTCCAGAGCAGTAGCGTAGGATCCACGACGCCCAGATGAGTACAGAGGCCTATCTGGGCTACCAGAAGATAGATCAAATTTGCTAGATGCTGACATTGAATCAATGTCCACACGCTTTCTGTGTTAGAAAACCGGTTAACACAGTTGTGCATGGCAATATAGTAATACTACAATCTATGGCACATTAAACTCACAGCTCAAATCTTAACTGTAAAAGAAGAATATAATATGCCTGCAACACAAAAAAAAATGGAGGTCAGACGAACCAAAACTCAAACAATTATTCAAATGTCTGAAAATCAATAAGAAAATTCAGGAAAAAAGAGCAACTGAAGGCCATTCAAGCCACTTAAAAGAGTTTCACGGATGTGCATATCTCAGTTTGATTTCCAGAAGAAAAAATACCTTACAAAGAGGAAATAACGTTTTGCACAAATTTCTATTGATCTCAGCTCATGCAGATATTTCAATTTTGTATTCTTGTTAAAACGTCCAAATGACTGTCCTTTGATAGATGTTATTCAGTTACATTTCAGGGAACTTCTACTTAACAAACAAAAAAGGGAGGCAGTTAATGAAGACAATTCCACCATCAATTCGTTGAGCCTGTGTATAAATGCTATTTAGTCCACACATATCAAGGACTTTAAATACTATAATATAAGTTAATGAACTATTCAAATGGCCAAGTCGACTTAATCGTCCTGTACAGATAGCTTACACCATCAACACGATGGCAAAATTGAATCTTTCCATACATAAAAATCAAATATTGCTATCAATAACTGCAAACTTGTGTTACTAAGTAAATGATAACAAACAAAAAAAAAAGCTCAGATGTCCATGTTCCCAAGTTTTAAGTTAGCACTTACGGATCCTCTTTAGCTAAATTAATACTTCTCGTGCTCCAATTTCATGCTACTTGATTTAGTAACTAATAATAAATTACACAACATTTCGACTCCTTTTCAAAACTAAATTTTGCCTCTCTAAAAGTAGGTCATATAAAGTGCTGTTTCTACCTCAAAACCACCAGACCTGTTGGTGGTTTGGAACATTAAAACGTTACTTCTCTGTTCAAAGATAACATTAAAAATCCTCTAACTTCTGATGTTTTATACAGAATGCCAGCATTCAAAACTCAAGTCATTTCATAACGCACTACCTAAATATTCAAAACCATGATTAATGATTACATTTCATAATCATCAGATAAATTCCAAAAAGAAAAGTCCAAAAAAAGAAAGAATTTAGCTGAAAACTTTGAACTTTATATTACTCTAAAAATCTGAAGAAAACTTGTGATTTGACGAGCCTCTGGGTGAAAACTCTACAATGGTCCATATATCGGTGAAATAATCCAACAGCTAAGGGTTCAATTGGGGTTTCGAAAATAAATACTGATATTATCGACGATAACTTTATAATCATCCATACACGTATCAAGAATTCGATACGCTTAAATTAAACGAAGCATTTCGGGCTTAAAATTATGACAAAAAAGAAATACCTGAAATAGAAAATCAACGGAAAACGGAGTATCTTCGATCGGCGGTGGAGAGGTCGGTCGATAAATTGAACGAGATAATTTTTTTTCCCTTTAATATTACACCGGATTTGGCCCGATTTAAGCCCGGATGAATAATGGCATGGTAATAATGCAGTAGCAGCGTTGCTAGAATCTCAATGGACCGGAAAGAAGAAAGTTGTCGGAAATGTAGTATCTAAATGGACCGGACCGTATGCGGGCCGGATGCTGCTTGGCGGCCCAAAAACTGTATCATAGGAAGGTGGCTTCTTTTGTGAAAACTAGACCAACATATTTTGCAAGTAAACTTACGTTCAAGAAAAATTCTAAAGGATAGTCAAAATGATTTACGAGCCTAATTGTAATAAGTCGTTTTTTATTTTTAATATTATTTTAATTATTGTATATTAATAAATAAATAAAGTATACTTAAACATTTATAGAAATTTCATGCGCGTATTTCAAGTTTCTTACAAAAATATAATTTTCAAAATTATAAATACTCCAAACCCTATTTGATTTTTATAATTTTAAAATTTATTATTTCTTAAGATCGTTTTCATTCACACATTCTCATATCGTAAACCTAAAATTTTTCCTACTCTAAATCACACATTCTTCAAAAGCTGACTATTACAAAACTCATTTGATAAAATAATGGGGCATCAAACATGGGCCAAATCAATAATGTTTCATTCATGGATAGAGAAAGTTATGTTCTTAAGCGAAATTTAGGCCAAAATGAACTTTTTGTTGGACTTATTTTCTTTTGAAGTTTTTAAAGTGATTGAATATTCTGTTGGGCTTAATTTCAAAACATGAAAATATCACTTGTCAAAAAAAGGTGTACGGCTTTTTTATCTAAGCACGGATAGGGCATTTGCTCCCAGCCTTGAGCCTAGATAGAGTCTAATCGGACCTTTTAAAGAATACTTTAATTACTTTTACTTAAAATAAGATGATTTATTTTTTAATTTTAATTAATATAAAATGATTTGTCACAAAATTTCTGATCTTGCCCCTTGGATTCTAGATTGGATTGAAAAGTTTTCATATATTCAATTCATGGCTTAACGCACATCCAAACTTTCCATTTATAGCATAACATTTAATGCTCTTTAAGAGTGAAGTTCAACCATATTTTCTCGTGAAAAAAAGGTAAAAATATTGTCATTACAGCACAAGCAAATTGCATTATTCGTTTTCCAAACACAAATATTTAATCAGAATATTCAGGAAAAAGTAGAATATTTGATGAAAAGTCGGGAAATCCTTATCAACACAAGTATAATGCCAAGCCAAAATTTGACAATGACATCTCTAAATAAGGAAAAAAAAATATGATTTGTGTAGGAAGGAATAGCTCCCACAAACTAGCATGAATTAAAAAATGATTTGTCAGACCTTTGATTAAAAAATGAATCCAACATAAGGAGATGTGTCAGAAATGTTTTAAGATTTTAGAATATGTGATTCAATACAACTTATTTTCAATACTTGATCACTCAACTTCGTATGTTATATTAAAAAACGAATGGAATTGATAGGTTGTAGAAAGAGGGTCATATGCAAGAATTCTAGAGAGAGAATTTGAACTAGGTGTGAAAAATGGCAAACTAGGCAACCTATATATAGCTTTCGACATGGTTATTGCTCATGGAACAATGCATTTCAAATGTGGGAGATATCATTCGAATGAAGAATGAAGAATCACAACTTTTGAGCTTCTAAATGTAACAAATTTGAATGATGAGTTGACTAGTCTTTTCGACTTCCAGATAGGGTTTGATTTCTCAAAATCCTGTTCACCAAATGACGTTCGATGAACAAATTTTTTTCAGCCATTTGATAAACCCTGTTTATACTCTAGATGCACAATTACTGCAAGGCCAAATTCATCCAATTTAAGATAACATACACATATCACGAATATTTCATACGAAAATTCCAAATGCTGATTAAATAACAAAAATCTAACGTATCCTCAAAGACTCCTCTTCCAATGGTGGTCAAGAACTCAAAATCTTCACCAGAAATCTTATACCGTTGTCTCTTTCCGCTTCAAATCCTTCTCATCTTGTGATACGTGCCAAGAAGCTAATGTGTTTTTGGTGCACTGAACACCAACAATTTGCAAGTAAATATCACATGAGAAACACTATAAGAATTCATTATGCTTTTCTTGTTGACGCAAGTCACTGTACGGAAATTGCCGGGAATGAGGTGCTGAGCTGGAAAAAGATTATATATTGTATACGTACTTAAAATAGTGCAAGAGAGAAATACTTGCTTGGATAATGGATGAAAAAATCTTAGCAAGAAGGAAATGAATCAAACTAGAATGCACCAGCCACCAGTTTTCACATGTTGGATCAGTCCAAGGAAGATAACAGAATCCCACATTAACGAAAAGACCTCATTTACAGAGAGTACTTGTTCAATTTTGAAATCAAGAAATTTTTTACTTGACCATAAAATTTTGAAGATATTGAAATAATTGAAACGCGCATAAAAGTATGGATCAAAGAGCTGTAGAAAAATAAGACATTCCATTTGCAGACGAAGATGGTATATCTTGAACAATACGATTTCTTTTTCTCACTTATTCCCGACCCAAACCAAGGAAAGCAAAAATTTCTTCCTTCGCTGGTCTTAGCTGTTCAAATAGTGTCATTGACTCGTTGCTACAGAATCGAGCACATGTTCAGTCGATCGAAACCTAATTTGATTGACACACTCAAGATGAATATAAATCAATTCAGCTAATTGCTGCCCCATTGGTATCTTCAGGAAATATATGCCATAGAAATGCGTTAATCCGTAGCTGACTCTTGGTACAGTGGCATCTTTATCTACCAACCGCCTTCGAAAAGTTCTGATATGGTGATACTGTTGATTCCAAAGGGTTGTAAAGAATGAGATTTAATGACGATGTAAAGTAATAAAGAGCACATCAAGAAACAAGATTAAAAGTAAAGAATTAAACAAAGAAAATTTATCGTAGATAAACGATGTATCATAAATTGACAATATGAAGATAAATTACAGACACAATGCCACATTTCAAACCCTATAAAAGTCTTAAAAGGCAAGAAAATATACTACAATTAGGAGACTCAATTTCAACAGGATTTTGTTTCCCTTGTTGTTGAATGCAGTTAGACTCCTTTCCAACACCAACAATACGTGATTCAAGACTCCTATTTGAGTTACAACTCTAACAATCTCCACCTTGACTCAAATTTTGGTGCAATGAGCAAGCTCCGCAAAATTTCTCCACCCGAGAAATAAATCTGTTTGCATCGAAATGAAATGGCAAATCTCCTCAACGTAGTAACCAAAACTCTCCATATAAACCATCGTCCTCTACACAGCATCCACATGCGACACCTGAACCCTACTTCAGAGTTCCCAAAATTCCACCAAAAAATTATTGTTTACCAAATAGGATTGAAGCACATCCCGTGGCAAAAACCATACAAAATGCCTGAACAAAAGCCCCCTTGTTAGAACTATCGCATTTAACGTCCTCAAAAGCATTACAGACATCACTGACACCACGATACATACGCTCAATGAATCTAATCTCGGTGCAACCGCTGAAATTTGTGGCAAGGTGGAATCACCAATGCTCTCTTGAGTAATTTCCTTAACCGACCCAGAGCTCCTCACAAGAGATACTGTACCAAACTGAATATCCAGCACAATACTGAACTTGTCCATATGTCTCTCCACCGGTTCTACGCTCCCCTACAAGATGTACAACTGAGAAATTCTCTATCTCCTAGTACAATCCGAACACCCTTTCAGACTTTCAAGATTCCACTTCCACCAGATAATTTATACCCTTTTGCATTCAAAATACTAAGCGAGATGAGATTCCATTTAAAGTCTGGAACATGTCGAACTTGATCAATTGTTCTGATTGTCCCATCCAGCAGTCTAAATCTGACTTAATCGATCCCATCAATACGATAAGACTGGTTGTTTCATTACAACTCTACATTGTTGAACAACCTCACATATCTGAAAGAAATTTCGATTGGAACACATATGATGCGAACATGCCGAATCAATAATCCACTTCTCGTCAAGCCTAGATTCCATGTTAGATACCACGGTCAACATCACATCTCCGCCGTCTGAAAAATCCTCAACTACGTTTGTTTCACCTGAAGTCAAAGGTTGCGCTCAAAAATTTGCAGCTAAATTACCTTTAGCCTAAAATTTATCGCAATCCTTCCGAATATGCCCCTTACGTCTGCAGTAGAAGTAAAACAAATTGTTGTTATTCTTCTATCTTTCCCTTCTTCGAGCACCATGAGATACAAGAGCTTCCTAATTCCTCGACGTAGCTCCAACCAAATGCTTCAACTTCTCCTTTAAGTACAAAGCATTATAGAATTCATCTATAGTCAAAGTATCTTGACTATACAAAATGGTGTCCCAAAATGACGCATAAAAGCCAGGCAGTGAAAACAACAGGATCAAGACTAGATCCTCTTCGTTATATTTAACCTCCATCGTCTCCAAACCTGCAACTATTTTCTTAAACACGGCAATATAGTCCTCCAGTGACCCTCCTTCTGCTGTGCAATGAGAATATAGCTTATGCTTTAGAGCTAGTTTGTTCATGAGATTTTTAATCATGTATAACTGCTCTAATTTCAACCACAAAGTAGCCGTTGTTTTCTCCCTCAAGACATTCTACAGAATATTGTTGGATAAATGAAGATGGATCTGTGATAAAATATTTTGATCTCTCCGTTGTTTTTATTCCGTTGTCCAATCAGCTGACATCTTCTCAAAACCTAGCAGTATATTGTCCAAATCCAACTGCGCCAGAATAGCCTCCATCTTTACTTGCCCTAAAGAAAACCTTGTATTGCGATCCAGCAGCGAAATTTCATATCTCGTGATAGTCATATTTGAAAGAGCCTCAATTAATCCACAGAAGAAGAACAAAGCTCTAATACCACTTGTTGATCCCAAGGGTTGTAAATAATGAGATTTAATGACAATGTGAATTAATAAAGATCACAACAAGAAACAAGATAAAAAGTAAAGAAATAAACAAAGTAAATTTATCGTAGAGAAACGAAGCATTATAAATTGACAATATGGAAAGAAATTATAGTCACAACAATAATGCTTAAACAAAACT